AAAAAAGACAAAAAGAAAAAAAAAAAATTACTAATTCTATTCAATCAACAACCATTAAATATTGGGCTCTTGTGAGTTTGGTTAGCATGTTCTATTCAGTGCCTACTTCAACAGCTCCTCAGCTGCAGTGTGACTCCACCATCCAAGGGACACAATACACCTTTTTGTCCGGCTACACAACACACAGAACTTTTGCAAAAGAGATCTTAACACCCACCTTCTCTAGGAACACAGGTGTGACATTACGCTGATAACAACCTTCTACAAGGAGACTCAGTGGACAGACGCTGAAGGACATATAATTCCAATATCTTCCAATATCTTTTAGTACTGGTCTGGTGGAAACATATTCCTCATTTACAAATTTTACATACTTCTAATATAAAAATCAAAAGGCAGGCCTATTAGTGCCTTGAGAAAAAAAAAGAAAGGAAAAACCTCTTTCGTGACTGACAGAGGCTTTGGCATCTTCTGATACCTCCTAGAGTGTCTGGACCATTTACGAAAACCATTAGTTGTTCCTAGGGCTTCTAATGCAAGAAACTGTCCCTCTTGGCCTCCTTCCATACATCATTAAAATAAATGACTGGCTGCCTATGGGGCTCTTCTAGAAATAGAGGCTCTCACAGACCCTGAGCCTGGGACCATCCACACCCAGCTGCCCATCATGCTTTGGGCCATGGAAACAGCACCTCACAAGCTCAGCACGACTACTGAGGCCTCCCTAAGACTAGACGGAGCCAAACCTGGGCCCCCTGGTATATTCCACTCCAGAAGGACATGGCTTCGCCTGTCCTCAGTCACTTGCCAGATACCAAAGTGCTGAAGGAGGTCACCCCTCCCCCAAGCCTCTAGACTACCTGGAAAGCCCCTTGGGACTAACTGAGTGAACAGTAATGGGAGTCTGTGGACTATGCAAACAACACTGCTAACCATCATACGTGCTAGAGTTTAGTGGAGAGTTGCTGCTTTCCACCCCTTAGCCAGGATATCCCTAATAAAGGACGAGACCCAAGAAACAACACACTTGACCAAATTTCACAGAGTTATCTTAGCACTAGATGCCCTGGTGAACAAATGGTCCCATCTTTACATTTATTCTAAACTGTTGAGCCATTACCTAAAAACTGTCACCTTCAAGGTGTTTAAAAGAAAAAAAAGAACCACACACGCACAATACTAACCTCTTGAAAAAGGAATTCAATAGTTCTCAAATAAATGGTTTCACTGAAAGACATAATGATGTCCTCAAACAACTATTTTTCAAATACCAGTCCAATGAATAAACCCCTGAATTTTTCTAGCATGCCCCAGGCCTCAACTTATTTTGTATAAATTTTTAATATTGCCCCCATCCCACAAGGACTGGAAGCCAAGTCAAGGATGCATACTCTCCTGAGACTCATTAACCATAGATTGTCCTACAGGCCAGGCAGCTGCTCATCTGATATGGGACCCATATGAACCTAAACTTCCACCAAAAAACAAAAACAAAAACAAAAAACCTGTCAGGTGCAGCTACACATAATCCTATTAACTACCGGTATTATTACTACGGGTGTGGATGCTTTATTGATTTACAACCTAAAGGGCTACATCAATTTCAGACAGTACACACTTAAAAAGAATACGCCAGTCCCACATTCCAGATGACTTTGCTCTGGCACAGAATATCACTGCAGGAGGTGACATCACCTCAGATAACATAGCCCCAACCCGAGACCTTGCTGTTAGAGATAACTTCACCCATTACACTGAAACCTCCACAGTGATACCCATGGACTGCCTCTCATAAGGCAAAAATGGACAGAACATTTTTTTGTTTTTCGTCCTGAGCTCACTGTCTGCTTAACCCATGATCCTACTTGCTTTCTGCTCATACATACACCCTCACACACCCACACCTAAAGGAAAATCTGGTACACATTGCTAAAATTAATGTAGATTATTGTTTTCCCCAGGAGGCACCTGCCTCATATCAGTAAACTCCTTAACCCCCTGAGGACAACCCATCCCCCTCCCACTTTCTACCAGGACCTCCTGGCTTGCCTCTGTAACCACAACCACTCCTCCTCCTTGGTTACACCCAATATCACTAATCTTTACATATGCTTTCCTAAACTATGAGTTCATAACCTCCAACAACATAACTGCCCTACTAAAATGCTTAATTTGTTGGTTAAACGGTACTATTCCCCCTGCAGTCAGTATCTTCACCATTCTAATTGCAACTGTCTCACATTTAAAAGATGCTGAGGCATGAGGAGATGCACTGTCATAAATTTGTTTAATATAGATGCTGCCTCAGCAGCCATTTTCAGGCCTGACACTGAAAACCCTGTTGTCCCCTGTCATCTCGAGCCTAGTTAAAACCTCCCCTTCCTGTGTGCTTGTGATACAGCTGCTTGCTCCTCATCTCACTAACCCCAAACCCAACACATTCCACAGCTACTGACCACAAGGAAACCTAATGGCTAACACCAGAGTCACGTATTCCCCCCTTCACGTGTGTTTTCTTTAGCCTAGCCAGTCCACAACCCCTCATGAACTTAAATAAAGGTACAATCCCAGAGGTACTCTCTCTCTCATTCCCTACCCGCAGGTAAACCCCTGTTGTCTCCAAACTTCCCATCGGCCCTCGAGGGAACAGCTCTTCTCTCTTGGACCTGTGAGTAATAAAATGCTTCTGTTACTTCATGTTTTTTATCGTGCTGCCTCCCTTGTGTCTCACCTGACCAACACACTGGAACGTAACTTTCTTCCTGCTCAGGGCAGGGCTAGAACTTGTAACCACTCTCCCCAGAGACCTCAAGACCAAATCACAGGAACTTACAAAAAGCAGGCATGGGATGGACACCGTAAAAGGAAAGGAACTTCATATGCTGGCTACAACTATTGCATGGTGCTCAGCGGTTGGGTGTGAGGGCACTTGATGGTGCTCTGCCCATGCCATGTGCCCAGAACACACAGTCCCCAGGTGATCACCAAGCCCTGGCCCAGTCACCACCATCCCTTGACCCTCCTAAAAAAGACACCATGCACTCAAAGGATTCCCACTAGCAGAGTAGCAACATGCTTGATGGTTGTTTCTCTCCTGACACAGACACAGTGCATTCCAGAATGCATGCTACATATCAACCCAGCTCACTTTGTGCACCTACCTGTGTCCCAGAAGTTTGTTCCCCACAACCCTCCAGATGTAGACACTGTGGTCCCGGACCTCACAACTGAAGTGGCATCCAAACTGCCTCTGCATTACCTGCCCACCACCTGCCCTGAAGGTGTATTTGTGACAGCTTTCCCAACACAGATACCATGCATTCCAGGCTCATACTGACAGTGGTATCCCAACTCCCTCCACACATCGGCCCACCAACAGCTGCTAGCCTTGGCCATGGAGCATTGCTTCAATCTTGCCTAGTGATGATAGAACAACTGTGGCCCAGAATAATCCAGCAAGCTTCTCCACCATCCAGATGGCTACAACTACACTGTGGCCAAACATGCTGCCATGACCCCAAAAAATCTCCACCTGCTCCTGAATAATGACCTCCTATTGAGTGTATGCAAGACTTAAGTTTCTAGCCAACAGAACACAGCAAAAACAAAGGGATACTGGAGATGTAATTAAAGTCTCACATCAGTTGGTTCTAAGTTCAGTAAGGAATTCATCCAAGTAGGCCTTACTTAATTAGGTGGTATTCTTTTAAACAGGGTCTAGGCCTTTCCTGAGGTTCTGACACTCCTCTACCTGGCTTAATGAAGTGGCAATGTGGCAAGAGCTGCAGGTAGCCTCTAAGAGCTAAGGTCAGCCTCCAGCTGACAGCGAGCAACAAGTCCTGTCGCTGCAAGGAAATTTTGCCCATTATCTGAGTGAGTTTGGAATAGATTTTTCCCTATTTAAGCTTCTCTAGTTAAGTTACATGAGACTGCAAACCAACCAATGCCTTGACTGCAATCAGGTGAAATCCTGAGCGGAGGACCTACCTAAACCAGGCCAAACATACTTTAAGTACTCAAAGAAGCTGTGAGATAGCTCATGTGTTGTTTTAAACCACGAAATTTGTCTTAATCTGTTAGGCAGCAAGAGATAACAAATACATGTTATCTAATGAGGTCTAAATCCCTGCCTTGGGAAGGGGCAGACATTCTTTTGTTTCTTTCTGCTTTCACTCAAAATTATGTTTATGAAATTCGTCTGCATTTTTGCATCTACCTTTGATTTTTCCCTTCTATTTACTGTAGAGCCTTCAAATACTAAGTATACCACAATTTACCTATTCTTCTGTTGATCCACATATGGGATTTTTGCAATTTAGGGCTATTTCATATAATACTGGTATAAAAAATATTTACTTTTATCTTGATACTCATATTGCACGCATTACTGTTGTGTTATAGAGCCCACAAAGTACAAATTCAGTAGGTACTGCCAACAGTTTTTGAAATTGCTCTTCCAGTAAACTCCCCAAAGAGCAGTATATGCACATCCTCACCAACTTTATCTTCAAAACCCCCACCAATTGTTTCACTATGTCCAGCTAGCTCACTGGGACCTGTAAGTGGCAAAAACAGAACATGAATATTTCCAAGCCTTTGACCCCTTCACAGCTTTCTGGCAGTCTGCATTGGCAGGGGAGTTTTCTGGTCATTTACCTATAGTGAGTGACTCCAGCCTCCTAGATGTGTGAGTATCTATGAGGAGTAACACAAGACATTCCTTCAGGGAAAGGAAGGACCAGTTTGGGTAGGAGTAGAAACCCCGAGGTGGACTGAAAACAATCAGTGAAAAGGCTTTGACTCTCTAATTATGTACACAAATATTTCCTAAGATTAATAATTCACATAAGTGAATTTTCACGGAGAACTTATTTTTCAATGCCCAGCCACTGAGTCTCATGAAGTCCACAAACTTCCCATTCGTGAAATTAAAACTTTCATACTTCCTATTTTCCCTTGATTTACATCATTTGATCAGATGGCACTTATTTTTTCCTGTTAGTCATACACTGAAGATTAGATTATTCCATCACATTTCCTTCCCTCTGTCACTCTAGAAATGTAATCAGCCAATTCATAGAATGTTTTCCCAGACACTTCCTTCCCTTTCCTTTTTTTTTAAAGATGACCAGTAAGAGGATCTTAACCCTTGACTTGGTATTGTCAGTACCACGCTCTCCCAAGTGAGCTAACCAGCCATCCCTATATAGTGATCCGAACCCGTGGCCTAGATGTTATCAGCACCGCACTCTCCCAAGTAAGCCATAAGTTGGCCTTTCCTTCCCTTTCAACATGGTTAAAACATACAACTTATATTTCTGGACTCAGCTTAAATATCACTCTATTTTCTTAGCATCACCTACACCCATACGAAGACAGAAAAATAATACTGTCTTGTACTTTACTTCTAGATATTCATCAACTGTAAAATACATTTTTTGCTTGGTTAGATGTTAGCCTCCTCTGCTAGTTTACAAGCTCCCTAAGAACAGCCCTATATTGATTTTTTTCACTATGCCTTAATCAACCATTCAGGGACTCATCAGTTTACAGGAAATATAAGAAATGGAGGAAACATTTAAACACACCGGGAGAATACAATCAAATACATCAAAATGTGTGACTTTCTCCAAGAACAAATGACTTTTCAAGAAGACATTATAACTGAAAGACAATAGCAACTGCTTTAGGTTCAAAGAGACTAAAAGACATAAACAATTACAACATAAAAACTTGAGTGGATATTAGATCCAAAAGCAACCAAAAGGTTATTTGGGGACAATATGGAGACTTTTACTTTTTTACACAGGAAAGATATCAGTAACATTTTTAATTTTCTTGGTTCAAATAGTACTGTTGTCTTAACAGGGCAATGTCGTTATCTATAGGATATGCATTACCGAGCATTTAAATCTCAAGTGTCACGCTTGCCATTTTCAACTTACTTCCTCTCAAACAGTTCACCAAAAAATGTATTTTACTTTTCTGAGGAGAGAGCAGATGACAAATTCAAACATTACAGTAAAGGTGCAATAAAACCTCCATTCTTTCTTCCTAGAAGCCCTGTTTTGAAGCTCTGTGGGAAGGTACAGGTCTAGGAAGTTCAGATGAAAAGAACAGCTTAGTATTCCTGTTTTTTTCAGTAGAAAGACTTGCAGTCTAAAAACGTTTATATCCACATACAGTAACATGCACACCCCAGACACCTAAAAAAGTAGCTTTGTCTTTCCACCTGAAAATTTGTCAAAAACACAGAACAGCAAAGAGAAAGCCAAATTCTCATATGAAACGTTAGCAGAAGCAGAAGGAAGAGGCGCTCGTGAACCAACTTCCACCCAGTGCTCACCCGAAAGCGCCGCAATCGCCAGGTCCGTGAGGCGGGAGGACGCAGGGCTGGGGTCAACGCGCTTTGAAGTGGGGAAATTTTTTATTTCTGGGGGGGGAAAAAAACACAACGATTGCTTTGGAGGCTTTAGAAGAGGCAATTACCGGGTTTGAAAGAACTCTACGGAATCGCCCTTACGACATATCCCGACGCACTCCCGGCGGGGACGAGGGCCCGAGTGGCGTCTCGGCCCTGGCCGCCCCGGGAGGACCCGCGGCCCCGGCGGACGCGAGCGGAGTGGGCCAGCCCTCTCTACGAAGCCCCCTCGGCGGCCCGGACCAAACTCGTACTTTCACCACCGGCTGCTCCCCTCCACCTGGCCTCACCGAAGCCGTCTTAAGCCAGAAACCACCCAAGTGGAAAGAACCCCGGCCGCGCGGAGGCAGCGCCGGAAGAGACGACGGCGCGCTGCTGACGTCACTTCCGCTCCCAGCCGCGGGCCTGCGGGGCTGCCGGTTCTAATCTCAGGCACGTTGGACCTCGTTCGGACGCAGAAATTGTTTCCCTCCCGCCTGAGGCGGATGGCTCTCAGGGTCGACGCAGCGCGGGACTGGAGGCAGAAACAGACCCGAGGACAAGGCTGAGGTTAGAACCCGGCCTGTGGGCGGGGCCCGTGCTCGGGGCGGGGATGGAGGCGGGACCCGGCCCAGCGCGCGGTTTGGACGGAAGAACAGACGAGAAACGAGGCTGCGGGGCGTCTCACCAAGTGCTTTTTACCTGCCTCTGCCCGTGTACCCGGAGCCCTTACAATGATTTTCCCAAACTGATAAACCTGCCAGTCCGAGAAATGGACTACTCCTCCGTTCAACCAATCCAGTCTTTAGGCCTTTATTTCCCTTTTTTGTTATTTTTTTAAATCTGAAGAACCTGCTAAACTCTGAGTTGATTTCTTTGTTTTCAATGTACTGACACTTTTTGTAAATCTTGTATATTTTTTCTTCAAATATGTGTTTTTGTTTTTCGGGTCTTACCGTAGGTTCCAGGGTCTCCCGTACTGTGTTGTAAAGGAACGTTGATACCAGGCATTCTTCACCTACGCAGGATTGGTTCTACAGTTGCTCCGGTAATCATTTTGCTGTGGTTTTCAGTGGACGGCCTTTGTGGAGTTAATAAAGTGATTTTGAACATTGACTAACATTTTATCAGGAATTGTTTAGGTATACCATCAAATATTTTGTGAATAGTGAGTTAGCTATTTTGCTGTTAATTTTTCATCTTTTACCGTGCAAAATATTTAATTTATGTAGCCAAAGGCGTTGTTTTTTAATATAATTTCTGGGTTTCCTGCCATACATTCAAAAGTCTCCATAAACTCTAGATTACATACAGATTTTCCTAATTTTCTTCTGAAATGTATTACTTTTTAAAAATTTTTTTGGCGGCTGGCCGGTACAAAATGTATTACCTTTAAAAACATTTAAATCTTGTATGCACATGGTGTCACCTGGAGCTTGAGTAGCTGCATGCAGGTAACAAAAGACAATGGCTAAGAACAAATTAAGAGGGAAGAAGTCTGGGAATATATTTCACATAACCAGCCAAAAAATTTAAGGCTGTTCCTTTTCTCTCAGCCCTTAGAAAATGTTTAATTTGCGCTTGGCCTCTATGGTTTCTAATGAGAAATCCACAGTCAATTGAATTGTCCTCTCAAAAGTAATGTCATTATTCTCAGGCTCATTTCAAGACTTTGTTTTTAGCTTTCAGCACTTTGATTACAATATGTGAGGGCTTAGATTTCTTTGGGGTTATCAATGTTTTGGTTTTACTGAACTTCTTGAATCTGATGATTTATGTCTTTCACCAAACTTGAGAAGTTTTTCATCATTACGTTTCAAAAATTTTTACTACGTCACCTCATTATTATTTTGATTTGTATTACTAAGACTACTGCTGCTGAACATCTTTTCATGTGCTTGTTAGCCATTTCTCTGTCTTCTTTGGAGAAATTTTTGTTCAAATCCTTTGTCCCTTTAAAAATTTGATTGTCTTTACCTTATTGCGTTGTAAGAGTTCTTTATATATTTTGTACTCAAGTCCCTTACTATTTATGTGATTTGCAAATATTTTCTCCCATTCAGTGCGTTGTCTTTCACTTTCTTCATGGTATACTTTAGAATATAAAAGTATATGTCCTGGGCCAGCCCATGGCTCACTTGGGAGAGTGTGGTGCTGATAACACCAAGGCCATGGGTTCGGATCCCATATAAGGATGGCCGGTTAGCTCACTGGGTGAGCATGGTGCTGACACCACCAAGCCAAGGGTTAAGATCCCCTTACCGGTCATCTTTAAAAAAAAAAAAAAGTATATGTCCTTGAGTGTCCTTTGAAGTGCAAAAGTTTTGGGTTTTTGTTTGTTTTTTTAAACTGATTTGGCGGGGTTCTTGTCAAAACTGGATTTTACAAAGAAGTGCACAAATAGGCCAAAGGTTGCAAAGCCTGACAATAATTTGGTAAAGCAAAGAATCTTTGTCATCATCTGGAATTCTGATATTGTGTTTAATCTGGAGGCCAATTTAGGGAGTACTGCCATCTTAACAATATTAGGTGCTTTAGTCCATGAACACAGGGTATCTTGCCACTGCTTTCAGTCTTAATTTATGAACCTTTTGTAGCTTTCAGTATACAAGTCTTGCACATATTTTATTAAATCTATTCCTAAGTATTTTATTATTTTAATGCTATCATAAATGGAATCGTTTTTTTGTTTGTTTGTTTGTTTTTTAAGATGACCGAAGTATTTTATTATTTTAATGCTATCATAAATGGAATCGTTTTTTTGTTTGTTTGTTTGTTTGTTTTTTAAGATGACCAGTAAGGGGATCTTAACCTTTGACTTGGTGGTGTCAGCACCATGCTCCCCCAGTGAGCTAACCGGCCATCCCTATATGGGATCCGAACCCGTGGCCTTGGTGTTCTCAGCACCACACTCTCCCGAGTGAGCCACAGGCCGGCCCGGAATCGTTTTCTTAATTTCGTTTTTGGATTGTGTAATGATAGTGTATAGAAAAACAACTGAATTTTCTATATTAATCTTGTTGCCAGCTACCTTATTGAACTTAGTTCTGTTAATTTTTTACTGGATTCCTGAACCTACCTAAAAGATCATGTTATCTACTAATGTAGATAGATTAACTTCATTTTTTCCAATCTGGAATCTTCTTATTTTCTTGCTCATTTACTTTTAAGAATTCCAGATGGGTGCAGAATTTTATGAGATGCAGTTTCATCTTCCCTTGTTTTGTTTTTGTTTTTTGGCGGCCCATGACCTTATTACCAGCACCACGCTCTCCCAAGTGAGCTAACCGGCCACCATTTCCCTTGTAATAATACTATTTTTTCTCTCTTCTCTAATGAAGTAATCAATTACATTGAGGAAGTTCCCAATAATAAGCCACTCCTGCAATCCTCGAATAAAACTAGTCATAGTGCACTATTCTTTTCTGTCATAGCTGAATTAATTTTGCTAATATTTTATTTAGGATATTTGCATACAAATAAGTTTTCTGTAAAATATCATTTCCTTCGGCTGGCCAGTTAGCTCACTGTGTTAGAGCCTGGTGCTTATAACACCAAGGTCAAGGGTTCAGATCCCAAGGCTGGCCAGCTGCCAAAAATAAAAAATAAAACATAAAAATAATAATAATAAATTATAATTACTTAGTACTAATTTAATCTTACTAAGTACCACTAAATATTCTAAGTTTTCTCTTACTTGAGTGGATACATTCACTTATTTGATTCTCACAATACCAAATCTTGAGTTATAAAATTCACACCCAGTTTATAAAAGATGAGACTGAGGCATCAACTTCTCCAAAATTACACAGCCAAAATTTCAAGGGGCAGAATCAAAACATGTACTCTGGCAGTCTGACTCCTGATTCTGTACCCCTAACCTCTTTGCTCTATGACCAGTCCAGCTTAAAATCTCCTCACATTTCCAAATGTACTGACCCTCTCTGTGAAATGCTGAGATCTTCACGTTCATGTCTACCTGGTTGAATAAGTATATCTCTGGAGGACCAACTCCCCACTTATCTAAAATTAACTTGTCAATAACTCAACCACTATTCTTTTCTCATTTTCCTTTCACCAAAATAGAAGTCATCCCAAAAGGAGAACACAAAGAGAAGGCATGTGAATTCACACAATTCCCACAAACACATACATGGAAGTCATTCCACATCGAGTCACTGTACGTGCATGCATACACACACACCCAGCAACACATAAATACACACACAACACACTGCTCCTGTGTATGCACATGGTGTCACCTGGAGCTTGAGTAGCTGCATGCAGGTAACAAAAGACAATGGCTAAGAACAAATTAAGAGGGAAGAAGTCTGGGAATATATTTCACATAACCAGCCAAAAAATTTAAGGCTGTTCCTTTTCTCTCAGCCCTTAGAAAATGTTTAATTTGCGCTTGGCCTCTATGGTTTCTAATGAGAAATCCACAGTCAATTGAATTGTCCTCTCAAAAGTAATGTCATTATTCTCAGGCTCATTTCAAGACTTTGTTTTTAGCTTTCAGCACTTTGATTACAATATGTGAGGGCTTAGATTTCTTTGGGGTTATCAATGTTTTGGTTTTACTGAACTTCTTGAATCTGATGATTTATGTCTTTCACCAAACTTGAGAAGTTTTTCATCATTACGTTTCAAAAATTTTTACTACGTCATACTTTCCCCTCTTCTTCTAGGACTCTGATAACATGAATATTAAGCTTTTGGTACTGTCACACAGCCCTCTGAGGCTCTGCTACTAGTATGCCAAATAATTCTGAATTATATTTGGGGCATTTTGAATATTATGACACCCCAGGCTTTTAAATCCTATGGAAAATGTAGTTTTTTGTTTTTAACCAGGCAACTAACTCCCCAGTTGGGTTCAGCTTCCAAGTTTCAGTCAGCACTCTGTGGGTTTTGGTTTCAATGTCAGTTCTGTTTTCAAAGACTTTGCAGTACTGGGCCGGCCTGTGGCTCACTTGGGAGAGTGTAGTGCTGATAACACCAAGGCCACGGGTTTGGATCCCTATATAGGGATGGCCGGTTAGCTCACTTGGGAGAGCATGGTGCTGACAACACCAAGTCAAGGGTTAAGATCCCCTTACCGGTCATCTTTTGGAAAAAAAAAAACAAAGACTTTGCAGTGCTATTTATGTCTCTACCTAGAGGCTAGACTACAGAGAAGGTCGTCTGTGTCACAGTCCAGTTGTCAGTGTCCATGGTATGTCTCACTGCCACCACAGGATTGCTTGGAGACTGGGGGCAAATGAATGGAAAAATTAAACTGTGACATGTAGAAAACCCTAAAGACTAGATGAAAAAAATCGTTGGAACTAATAAACAAATCAGGAAAGTTGCAGGATACAAAGTCAAGATGGTACTGGAAGAGAAGGTCTGGGGAAGCCCTATGGCCAGCCTCGACTCACCCTTTCCTCTACCAGGTTCTTTTACTCCACCACAGGAAAGAATTCAAGAGCCAGAGTCACAGTAGAAAATGAAAGCAGGTTACGTGTAAAGAATAAGAAATACAGATTTCATGGGCAAATTGTGGCCTAGCTCCAGAGACTGAGCAGCAGCCACACCAAATTTAATACAAAAGTAAGAAATACGTACTTAAGGTTTAGTACAAAGTGCAGGCTGGCTCAAGACAGTGAGCAGCTGCCCACTAAAAGTTAAGTTCAACAAAAAAGAAAAGCATACACACCTAACTGGCAAAGTGCAGGCTGGCCCCAGCGTAGGTGAGCCAGAGCTCTGCCTTCTGCCTGGGTTCCACTTTTATAGTTTTTACTATCTACACACATTCATGCTATCTAAGGAATATCCAATTAAGGGGGTGATTCCCAGTTATGTAACAGGTTTCTGTGTGCTTCGTTGATCTCTCTTAGAGCATGCTCATTGGTCAAATTCCTCCACATATTTCAGTATATTCGGTGCTCTGTAGCGCCTCCAGTGGAAGGGCATTCCAAGGATAAATTCCTTTTTACTCAGCATGCTTGGCCAGTGAGATTACATAAATCTGCCCCCTGTGGTCTCAATCTCCATGTGCTGATGTAAAAAATAGGTGCTACAGCCCACCATAGTTTAGGACCCAGACTCATGATGGGATTAGCACCCTGTGA